TATAGAGACACCACCACTGACACATAACATTGTTACACATGACACGTACACACATAGACACACAACCCTCCAAACATTACATAGTTCCTTGTGTGAGGTTATTGGATTTTGTTTTAGGGCATGCGGCAGAACCCACTTCCCCCTCCCCTCCCTCCCCACGCGCGCGCCTCGAGAACCGCGGAGGTCACTCTTTTTGGCACCCCCCGCGGGGGCCGTGGCTGAGGGGGGGGGATCCAGGGGATTATCACTGTCTACACCCCTCGCGAGGATCGTGGCCTCAGCCGTGCTGCGCCATTTCCCCCATGAGTTTGGGGAGATCTATGGTTCGACGCACCTCGCGAAGATCTTAGCCTCCGAGTGGGGAGCCGCAATCGCCCACCCCCCTCTCCCGCCCCAAGATACCACCAAATGCCCTCCAAGAGGCCCCGAGGACCGCCAAGGAGCCCCAAGATGCCCCAAAGAGGCGCCCGCGAGACGCCAAAGAGGCCCCGTGAGGCACCGCACCTGCTTCCAAGAGGCTTCCAGATGCCTCGAGTCTGCCTCGCAGGGGCCCTGCAGAGGCCAACCACGAGCTCCCAACCAACACCCACGACGCCTCTGACCCATCGCCCAGGCACAGTCATGGGCTGCCGCAAGTCATGTGGATCGAATGTTACACGTTACACGTAACATACCGTAGATGAACACACCTACACGCACATACACATCTACATGCACATGCATATACACACACATACATGCAAACAGCATCACCTACAGACATACACACATACACATACAGACATATAGCTACATGTATCTACATGCACAAACATGCATACATGCGGACATACGCATTCAGAACATGCAAGCCCAATTTGTGCGAACAGAGACGCACACCGAAGCATGAGTGGCACTGCGAATCCCTCATTGTCACTGCGTGCGCCCACTTGGCTTCTGGAAACTAACCCCTCCATGGAGCATCGTTCCTGGATAGATGAACGCCGTTTCTGGGTGGGCTGGTGATGTCGCTTCGGGGTGGGCCAGGGCAGGCTGGCATCGCTTCTGGATGGGCTTGGCTGGCATCGTTTCTGGATAGGTTGGCAACTGGCATTGCCTCTGAATGGGCTGGGCTGGCATCGCCTCTGGATGAGCTGGCTCGACCGCTGTTCTTCGGGTCCCAGCGGCTGGGCTGACAGTTCAATATCTGCAGTTCCGAGGCTGGACGGCTGGCGACATCGGAGAATCGTTTCTGGATGGGCCACCGTTTCTGGAAGACCTGATGGGGGTTCTTTGATGTTTTCACCAGGAGGCGCAGGTGCAGCGTTGGCTTTGGCCTTCTTGTTCACGTACCACCTGTCCTTGGCCAGCTGCGCGTGCCTCTGCATGAGCTCTCGCCGCTCCGCGGCGGACGCGCCAGGGGCTGCTGCTGGCACCTCGAACAGCCAGGTCTTCAAGACCTCGTCCGATGGGCACCGACTCTCGCCGATGCACAGCCTGCAGCCAGCATGCATACCCGCCACCGTGCCTCGAGGCACGGAGTGGGCGTGCCGCCGGGCTTTCTGCCGCATCCCTTGAATTTCAGGCTTCAACCCCGAGGAATCATCCAGGGGACCAGCGCCCAACTTGTAAAATATCTCTGGTCCACCCGCGTGCAGGCGCGTCACTATGCATCAAGTGGTACGTGATCGGTACCACTGGAAGCATACTGACGGCATGCCCCAAGTGGTACTTCATCGGTCCCACTTGAGGCATACAACGGGCATGCCTCACGTGCTACCTACTCGGTATCACTTGAGGCATATTGCCAACATGCTTCAAGTGGTATGTTGCTCGGTACCACTTGAGGCATATTGGCGACATGCTCCGAGTGGTACTTGGTCGGTACAACTTGAGGCATGCAACGGCCATGTCCCAAGTGACACGTATTCGGTACCACTTGAGGCATATTGCAGAGATGTTTCAAGTGGTACTTGTTCCGCTGGCGAGGCGCAGCGGAGGGCGGGGCATACTGCCGACATATGCCCCCGACCGACAACTCAGGCGCGGTGGCGGGATGCGCCGAAGGCCAGTATGATAGCAATTCACTGTCACGCTGTTGGCAGGATGACCGCGCAAAATGCGCAACACCTGGCGACCATCCATGTGGAAGTATCCACTCGGCGTCGGGCCAACGAGATCATGCGGCCCTGGCGGCGGCGGCGGGAGCGGTGCCGCAGGCGCGGGCGGCTCCTCGGCCTCGCCAGGCTCAGGCTCCAGGCCGACGTCAGCAGCGCCGTCTGCCGCTCCAGCTGCGATCTCACCGGGTACTTCAGCTGGTACCCCAAGAAGCTCAGCACCGCGAGCATCGTCATGCTCGTCCAAGTCCCCGCCGTCCTCGCCGACCAGTCCTGGAGGGTGCCCCTCGATGACGCCGTCCTCCAAGCCGAACGTGTCGCCCAGCTCCTCCATGCCGTCGAGGTCGGCATCCTCGGCCTCGTGTTCCAGCATGTCCATCTCCTCGCCAATCGCCGCGCCAGCTGGTAGCAAGTCGTCGACCAACGGCGGCATGTCAACGTCGTCGACGTCGCCGTGGGCGTCGGGGCCGCCGCCGAGACCCTCGCCATCTACGGCTCCGTGGCCGCGGCCTCTGCCTGCGCCCCCTCCGCGGCGGCCGCCGCGCCCAGCGCCGCGCCCAGCGCCGCGCCCAGCGCCGCGCCCAACACCGCGCCCAGGAGGCGTCTCGAAGGGGTCGCTGGTGTTCAGCCTCCCCAGGTCGGACGCAGAAGGCCCACGGCTGCTGGGGCTCTGGTACCCGAACGGGCGCGTCATCCCCGCCCTCCACAGCTCACCCTGCAAGTGCACAGCTGAGATTCTGCTCCACTTCAGACTGTTATCAACATCGACATCCACGTCGTAATCCACTAAGTACAAATCCATGTCGATCAGGTTCCGAACCAACTTCAGTACAAAGTGATCTGAAGATTCATAGCCAATACAACGAAATCGACCAGCGCTCCTACAGTTCTGAACATCGATCTCCACAAGACACGGCGTGTGTAGCACGTCGCTGTGGGCATTCGCTCTCACTTGGAACGTGTTCGGTGCGATATCAAACACCTTGGGTCGATGGGCAACCTAGGAGCACAGCGCACGGCGCCCTTAAGGAGGATGAGGCGGAGAAGGAGGATGGGGAGGAAGGGAAAGGGTTTCTTAGGCGGCGTCTTGGCTTCAATCTCGCCTCCCCGCTCCCCGAACCGTGTGCCATGGGTGGTCACCAAGAGGGAGCGGCATGACTCATCATGGAGACTGGTGTCTACCGCGGCTCTCCTGAGAGCTTGAGGGTGCTCTTGGGCGGGGGGGGAGGAGGAGGAGGAGGGGGAGGAGGAAGAGGAGGAGGGGGAGGAGACGGAGGAGGAGGATGAGGAGGATGGGCGAGGATGGGCGAGGAGGAGGAGGAGGAGGAGGAGGAGGGAGATGAGGAGGATCCCAAGACCGTGATATTGTGATGCTATGCTGTCCCAAGAACCCAAGATGGTCGCAAGACGGCGTCACAGGCGGCGCCCCCCCGATAGCCCCCCCCCCCCAAAAAAAAACGGCGCGCAGACTGCCACCTCGAGAGCCTTCAGAGCGTGCTCAGAACCCCTTTTATTACAATTTGACTCCCCCCGTGGAATTCCGTGGCCAAGGCAACTCGTTCGGATGTCGGTCGTTCATGGATGGGCTGACAGGGGTACATGTCTCATGTCGTTTCTGATGGGCTGGGGCATTGGCAATATCGTCTCTGGATGGGATTGGTCGTTAGTGGATGGGCTGACGGGGATGCACTAGCGGACGTCGGGCACATCAGATTTCTGGATGGGCAGTGGTCGTTTCTGGATGGGCTTAGGGAGGGCGGTTACATATTAGCGGACGCATCACCTTCGGATTGTAAAACGTGCCCGAAATGATACCCACGAAGCGCATTCGGCTGGCTGGGTTCTCCAGTGAGTGGCCCTCCACCATGATCATCACGTCGCCGACATCGGCGGCGGGTCTCGTTAAACGTGCCATGAGGTTGTGAATGCCATGTTCTATCAAATGGAACTGCTGAACGTTTGGCACCGTTGCCCGAGGAACAGGCCGAGCGTTCCTGCCGCAGCCCCACAGGCTGAAGTCTGGAAGGTCAGGGATGGGCTCAGCGCGGACGACCAGGTCGTCGGCAGCATCGCACTCGAAGTCTTCCTGCTAGGCGGAAGCATCCGAATGCGATCTGCTGATCCTTCTCTTACTCTTCCTCCTTCTCCTCTTTCTCCTCCTCCTCCTCCCTCCCATCCAGCCTCGATCCCCCTCCCTCCCCCCTCCTACTCCTCCACGTGCTCCTCCTACTCCTCCTCTCCCTCCTCCTCCCATGCCACCGTGAAGTTTGCAAAATTGTACACCCGCATGTCCTTGGTCGGCCAACCGTGCAATTGATGCCACTCGTAGAACTCCTCGCAGGAGATCGGGGACGAGCGGCAACCTCGACCCCAGGAAGTGGCATACGCGGGCGCCTGGGCATCAGCGGGCACCATCTCTGCAGGCGTGTTCTGCCAATCCTCGAAGGCCTCGTGGTGAGCGTCATGATTCATGAGCTGCCACTGTTCCCTGAACCTGCTGCGAGCCGTGCTCAGCTCCTCGGGCGTCAAGGCGGAGCCCTTCGCCCTCTTCAGACTCGCCAACGTCTTGTTCAATTCCAGCATGTACGGGCTCAATCCGCGCCGACGGGGTGGCAGAGGTCCGCCGCCGTCGCCGTCGCCAGGTGGCCCGCCGCCGCCATCGGCCCCGCCAGCTCCCACCGCCCTCGCGCCCGGCAGGATGGAGGCGTTCGCCAGCACGATCTCCACGGGGCGGTCGACGGCCACGGGCTCAGGCGCCGCGGCGCTCGCAGCAGCGCCATCGGGCCCACCTGCAATTGGAAGAAACTCAGGCCGAGCAGCGGCAATGAGTGGCTGCACCTGCACTCGAAGGTCCGACGACTTCAGGGCTGCATCTCGCTTCATGCTCAACGGGTCGACGCCACCTCATTTCTTGTGCACGGCGAGTGCCTGCTGCAGCAGCTGCTCCCTGGACGCCCCACCGAAGACGCGACCTGGCGCACGATGCACTCGACCAGCCTGAATCTCCGCGTTGAGCCTCTCGATGATGTCGGTGGAGAATCCGAACGTGCGAAAATCAGCCAGCAATGTTTTCCTGCACGCCTCACTCATCAGCAGAGGCACGGTGTTGAAGCGGTGCTTCACGCCGCACGCGTACACGCCGAGCTCCTCGCGCGATGCATCGAGCAGTCGCCGCGCAACATCCCTGCGCTGCTCTTCCGATGAGTGGGCGCTGCAAAGCGTGAAGAGCGGGTACGGCCAGCTCGAGTACCGAAGATCCCACCTTCGGCTGATCGCAGAACTCAGGCGAAGGATGCATGAACGCGCGAAGCGCGCATAGCCAGGGTCCCTCATCGGCGCCTGGACTGCATCGAGGATAACCAGCGGATCCCTCTCGCCGCCATGAAGCCACGATTCAAGTACATGCAATAACTCTGACAAACAGTGGCCGAGCAAACTATCCGCCACCGCTGGCACTTGGACCGCGATGTCGTGCTGTCTGGTGCGGTTGATGGTAGTCTTCTACCCCCCTCTGCACGCGCTTCCGCGCGCCCGCGTGCCCCCCCTGGAAATGGGCGCATCGCCTGAGACATCCTCGCCACATCGGGAAGTTGCGTAGGGGGAGGGGACACGCCTTGTCACATGTGACACCAATGGCACATTTCGACATCACGTCTCGGAAGCGTCACGCGCGGTACCTCCGCCGCGTCTGAGCGGGAGAGGCGCCGAGGGCGGGGCAGGCGCCAGCGCCGTCATGTGTGACGAATCGGCCGTTCGAGGCGGACGAACACGGGGACCGCGTCGCCTAGGCCCGTGGAAACAAATAACAGTTCCAAAGGCCAGTGTTCAGGCGTCGATTTCAAACCGACCCGAGATGAACTCCAATATTGCAGAAGAACGTGGCATTATTGTAACGCCAATGTGCGTTGACACCGCCAGTGCTGCATACGTGTTTCGCCTGAGACACCACCTAATAATAACTTCGGCCCCTGGAAAAGTAAAGACGGACGGGCCGCATATGACAACTCTTCTCTCCTTGCCCCCCCCCCGCCGCCCCCCTCCCCTCCCCGCCCCCCCCGCGCCCTGTGCGACGTTCCGATGGCCAGGCCTTAGATTTCAATGCCGCATGCGTCAGAGAATGTCTCGGGCGAAACGGGCGAATGTCTACTTCGTTGCTTCTTCCTCTCCCTCCTCCTCCTCTTCCTCCCCCTCCTCCTCCCCATCCTCCTCCTCCTCCTCCTCCTCCTCCTCCTCCTCCTCCCCTTTCTCCCCCCCGTCGTCGTCACCGTCGTCGTTTTCCTGAAGCAGCCGAAGTGACTAAGTGTCACGTGCTACTGTTTCGGCGCCTCCCTCGCGGGAGAATCACCATCGTCATCGCCACGGTTACCGTTTTCGCAGCAGCAGAAGCCATCATCATCATCATCATCATCAGCATCATCATCATCATCATCATCCCCGCCGTCTTCGTCACATGCAATACCCCTGCCGTCATAACAATCACCAGTGGTGGCCGTCATGGCTGCAGAGGTATTATCGTAGTTTGAAAAACCAAACGCGTCACTTGTAAAACGCACGCGCCCCCTAGCGCAAAAACCACCGACGCGGCTGGGCTGGCACGGTGGCGGGAGCAGCCGCAGGCAATCATATCATCTGGGTCCAGGAGACACTCGAATTTGCTGCGGGCGTCGTCATCCGCGGGCCATGGGTCGCCCAAAAGTGGGTACAACAAACGCCTGTCGATGATGTCCACGGAAACCGTGAGCAAGGCCAGCTCTGGAAAAGTCTTGGGGTCATCAAAATACACGCCCACACGTGACAGCCGCGACGCATTCACCTCCGCGACGTGCGATTGACATGCCTCGCCGTCGGCGGATTGCGGCATCTCGCTGGCGGCGCCAGGTTTTCTGATCGAACACGGGAACGCCTTCACGCCGATATTGTACACGATTCGCCTCAGCAGCAATTGTTTCATATTGACCAAGGTGTGCGTCCATCTGCTTTCTGCTGGAATAGGGTCCCCGCCGCCATACAGCGCATTCGTGACCGAACGAACTGTTCTGTCGTAGCAAGTGTCGGCGTCCCTGCAACACGGCCTGCCAGTTGACTCGTCCCAGCAATAATGCACCCAATCTCCGTGGAGATCCCCGTTGACCATTCTCATCAATTCACCCAGGTCCTGTACCCTGCGAGACACCTTGCCGTTGGCGCGCTTGTGGTGGTCCGCATCTGGGCGGAAGAGAACATTGATGCACTTGGACAGCGGGCAGGCAATGCCGTCTGGCGGCGGGCCGAGGACCCGTCGCTTGAGCATCTTCTGCACCAGCACTTCGATCGACTCGCATATGCTGGTCCGCACACCGTCAAGGCGAAGCAAGTTGGCTAAGCTGAAGAGGCGCATTGTGTGGTGCTTGAGCGGTACAACTTGCAATTTTGTGCGATGTTCTAAGTGCACGCCACACGTCTCTGGGAACACAAGAAGCCGACCACTGCTGCGCGGAAGCACCATCGTTTCCCATTGGTGACAGAATTGTTTCATCAAGAGGATGTTCCCAGACGCCTTGTCACCAGTCAGAGACATCGTGAAGGACGAGAACGAACGCAACAACCGATCAATATTCTCCACGGCGTTGAACTGGAATGGCCGCGGGATTGCCTTCAACACAGCGGGCAGGATCGCATTGGCTGAAGTGCCGCTCACCTTCATCGGGTTGACAAGGATCTGCTCGCAGAACGATCGGCTGATCGCGCTCTTGTCGTTCATGTGGTTGGCCAAGGTCAGCCTGGCGTAACCTCGCTGGCAGATAGTCTGAATGCTCGTGGTTGTCTTCCTGCGGCGGCACCCCATCTTCGGATATGCTGCGAACTTGCAGTTGACCTCGTCCCACAAATGAGCATATGACATGTGGACGAACCGATTGCTGGCACCTGGGTGCTGCAAAGCCTTCTCACCGCCGCGGAGGACGTGCTCCACGCCATCATCCTGTCTGGCCTTGATCACGCGGGCTGCGGCGCACACCAACCGCCGAATGTCGATGCCAATGTTCAGCGTGCCCAGGCGTCTGGCAAAGACAATCCTGCTCAAGAAAATGAAATGTGCTGGTCGGAGGTCGTCCTTTTTGATCCTGCCGACGTGTTTCACGGGCCGCCCGAACAATTGGGCGCATGCAGGGATCAACGTACAAGCCGTGTGCATGTCCCCTTTGAGCTGTTCAAAGTCTTGGCGGAGCTTCGACTCGCGGCTCTGGGCGCACAACAACATCTTCTTGGAACGAGCGTGGCTCATGAGCTCGGGCGTCCTTCTCTTGAGATCGAGGCGGGCAGGGGGCGCTGGCGCTGGAAGCGCCAGAGGCGGCGGCACGGCAATGTGATCATCGCCGTCTGCATCTGGAGGGCCGCCTGCAACCAAACCCCCGATCGCCAACGGCATCGGCACATCCTCGATGTGTTGGTCCATGCTGGGTGCGACACAGAAAGTGACGCCTCAACACAGGGCAGGGGGCCTCAAGCACTGCAAGCTGGAAGCAGGATCTCCTCGGTTTGAGCCAAAACGGCAATACCATCACATCGTCACATCACCACATCAACATTGAACGCATCATCTGAGCATGGTCGTTGTCCACTGCCCATACCGAACCCCATGCCGAGACGTAGCAAACACTGTTTGAGGAGAGGTTGCAAGCACTGCATGGGGAAACGCTGCAAGCACTGCGCCGAACATAGTACCAACGACGTTTTGTAGTAGAATTGCAAGCACTGGCTCGGACACTGCGCCAATATAGACTATGCCCACTTTGGTAGACATCAACATGTGCCTGATTGATGACTGCTGGCGGGGGGGCATGTGACGGAGGAGGAGGATGAGGAGGAGGGTGAGGATTCCAATAAAGAGTTTGAGACTGAGGGGGAGGAGGAGGAAGAGGAGGAGGAGGGGGGGAGGAGCAGGAGGAGCAGGAAGAGGATGAGGATACGGATGATGCAACGGAAAAGAAGGAACGGGGGGGGAATGGGGGAGGAGAAGGAGGAGACGGAAGACGGTGATGATGACGATGGTGACGATGGTGGTTATAACGATGTTAACGGTGAGTCCTTCTGAGAGCGCCACGGGGGCATTGTTTCCACCGTTGGGTTGCAGAGACACTGCGCACGCTGTAAGACGTTCCACGCCCCGCAGGACACTGCAAGCACTGAAAGGCACTAGTGAGACGTTGCAAGCACAGCCTGGACGATTCAAGCACTGTTTGAAGAGCCGCTGCAAGCACTGAGAGGGGAACACTGGCAAGCACTGTTGCCGAGGACGCTGCAGGCACTGTTTTTGGAAAAGCTGCAAGCACTGTTTGAGACACGTTGCAAGGACTGCCTGGGACATGTTGTAAGATCTGTTTGGGGAAGTGTTACACATAGGAAGCGTTGGTTGAAACGGGGGGGGCTAAATAATGAGACGAACTGGGGTACTGGGTACATGAAGACGGGGGGCGGGGATGAACGAGGGAACAGGGAGGCATAATGCGAGGGAGCTAGTTTTTTGCGAGGTCGCGTAGCTCAGCGGTCAGGGCACCGACGCGGGACACAAGGGATTGCCATTTGTCAAACGAATCAAAACTCAACTGGTGCCGCCACCCTGCGCGCCGCATACGGCGGCTTCGACGCAGGCAGTTTCAAGCGGGCCGCGGGAACAACACGGCTACAATGATGCAAGTGCGGCGCAATTGCGCGACGAAAACAAAGCATCGCGCCCCGCGTCGCTGCCCTGCTAAAGCGACGGGGCACAAACAAACAGGAGCGACCAAGCGTTGGGTGGGGCGCGCGCCCACGGCAAACAAACGATAACTTTCCGCGCAACTAACGCGGGCCTCTGCTGAGACCCGCGGCCCCCATCGCAAAACTTGACCACGAACCACACAAACCAGTGCCGACGCCGCGAGCAGCGAGGATCGCCCGCAGACAATTCACGAACAGATTACACAACTGGCGCGTCAATTGCGATACAGCTAGCGGATGTCAGACGCAAGGGCGGGGTAGACAGTCGAAGCACCAATGCCACTGTCATTCAGGGCGGACGCAGAAGACAAGAGTCGCACCAGCGAGCGGCGCATCGACAATGATGCCCCTACCGCCGTTGGCGGCAGAGGCATCGAGCGAGGGGGCGGCGCGCGCCGACTCTCAACGAGACGCTGCCCCGAACTCAACCGACACGCTCGCGTCTCGTAGCAAGCGCGCCGCAGTTGCAAATAGAAACGGGTGGCTCGCACGCGCACAACAAATGCGAATCGCAGGCAAACGTGGATCAGATCGTGCTGCTTCTAAGACAAACATGCAAGTTGCAACGAAAAACACATGAATATTGCATGTAGTTCGCATACCAAGAAGTTGGATGGTGGAGCGAAATGACCCTGCAACTTCCTCGATTTCCTCCATTCTATAGAAACCACCGAACTCTGACCCCCACGGCTACACAAGTGATAGGGGGCCTTGATTATGGTCGGTTGTGCAAAAATATGCAGGGGATAAGTTTGAAAAAAAAGGGAATTCTTGGAATCCCCGTTTTTCAGATTGCCATGCCTAGGCCATGGGTCAGAAGTTTCCTGGATGCAGGCCGTGACTGTTGGGACCCTCTGGGGGCCTTTCGGCGGCATGTTGGCCGACGTTCGGGGCCTCTTGGGAAGCTCTTGGTGTCTCCTGGGAGCCTCCTGGGAGTCTTTGAAGGCATCTGGGGGCGCCTCGAGAGCCTTTGCGAGAACCCTTGGGCTATCTTGAGGCAAGGCTCGAACCTTTCCCGGGAGTTTTCCATGAGTCTCCGCAGGCATCTGGGGGCGCCACGAGAACCTCTGGAAGAACCTTGGGGCCACCTTGGGGCAAAGCGCTCGTAAGGCTTTGGGAGGTCCCCTCTTTCGTCTCTTTCTTGGCGCGCGCGCGCGCTGACCTTCCAGCTAGGCTGGACAGGTGAACTCATGTGATCTCGATTTCTACGGTGGATTCAGGGGCAGCCAAGAGGACACGAAGACGACCCGAAAGATTGCCAAGACAGCGTCAAAGAGTTCAACAGCATTCTCGAGTAATCTCTGCAATGTCACCCCGAAGTCTTGACGGGGCGGAATGAACTTAGAAAAAAAAAGGAAATCACTGGATTTCTTCTTCATTTTTTTTTCAAGTGAGGCCTCCTAACATGTAGTGCGCAGGAATCGGGGGGGGCCTAAGAGGCGTGCGGGAGGCTCTTGGGAGGCAGTTTGGAGGCCGCTGGGGGGGCTGTTTTTGGACCTGTTGGGGCCACTTTGGGGCCTCTTCAGGGCTCTTGGAGGCCTCAGGCTCTTTGGAGGACTCTTGGGGCCTCCTGGAGGCCTCTTGGAGCGGAAAGCCGGGATTGTCGATTTGCGTTCCACCTGTTGGGCGGCTTTTCGGGTCATCTTGGGGCTCTCTTGGGCTGCCTCGGGGCGCTCTTGGGCCATCTTGGGGCCTTCTTGGCCCGTCTTGGATCCGTCTTGGGGGCTCTTGGGCGGTCGTGGGGCGGTCTTGGGGGCCTGTTCGGCCACCTTGAAGCGTTGGGAACTCGAAAACACGAGAAGGTTAAAAACCCAACAGAAGTCATGGAAATCAACGATTGTGGCCTCTTCGGGCACTCCTGGGACGCCTCTCGGAGATCTTTTGGGGCCCCTTGGAGGCCTCTGGGAGCCTGGAGAGCCGTCGGAAGTCTGTCTTGGGCTGCTCGGGAGCGTCTTGGGCCGTTCAGTCGCGTTCTGGGGGCTCCTGGGGGGGTCTTGGAGCGCTTTGGGGGTTCCCAGGAACGCCCTGGGGCGCGGTACTGGGAGTTGCCCCTAGATGTTCCGGATGTGTGGGACGCTCCGGGGGGGGGGGGCGTATGTTCATATCATGTGTATAGATATCTGTGTGTGTGTGTGTTTGTTTGTATGCAGTTCCGTCTGCCTGTCTGTCTGTCTGTCTGTCTGTCTTGTCTGTCTGCCTGTCTGTCTGCCTGTCTGTCTGTCTGTCTGTCTTTCTGTCTGTCTGTCTGTCTGTCTGTCTGTCTGTCTGTCTGTCTGTCTGTCTGTCTGTCTCTGTCTCTGTCTGTCCGTCTGCCTGTCTGTCTGTCTGTCTCTGTCTGTATGCATGTATGCATGTATTCATGTGTATGCATGCATGCGTGCATGCACATATATATATGTATATATATATATATATACATGCACACGTACATAGAGATTTGCACATGCACGCATATGTGAAACATATATACAAACATACACATATGTATATATGTCTGTGGATGTGTGGATATGTGTATAGATAGATGGGCGCGTGTGGATGGATCTATAGATACACATATATATATATATATATATATATATATGTATATCCCTCCTGCGATTGGTTCTGCCTCGACTCTCAGGACCCCTCTCAGCCATCGCGCTGCCTACCAGCCCCGGGCCACGCCGCGGCGACGGGCCTCCTGCGCGCTCAGGCACTCCTCCGCCTTGGCGTCCCGCTCGTGCTCCGCTTCCCGCAACTCGCGGGCCGGCTCCGCTGGGGGGTGCCCCTGCTGCTCCCCTCGGGTCTGGCGGGGCCCTCAGGGGGGTGGCAACCCAAACCCCCTCGAGTCATGGAAAAAATCACGACGGAAGGCTGTTCCCCAGTTCCTGCCTCTGGGAGCCTTTGCTGGGCCTCTGGACGGTGAGATAGACACTCAGGATAAAAAGCTGGCCCCCCGGAATGGGTCGAGACACCTGGGGGTCGACGTCATAAAAAGTCATGTCGGGGGTCTGGGGAAGGCGAGGAGGGGGGGCCCTGAGATCCAGGCCTTGCAGTTGTTTCACACTAGGCGTGTTTGCCAGGTCTCCGGCCCCGAACCATCATGGATCGATCCAGCTCGAAAAGCGCCGCAGAACGATATGGCCTGGGGCTCCGGTCGTGAACTCTCGCACTGTTGCAATGTTGTCGCAGCGTCGGATCTCAGGAGGCCGAAAAGGAAGGAGAGCCCAGAATCAAATCGATGAGTCAGACCAGCGAACGAAATGAACCGGATCGACAGGAATCGGCAGCCAAGTCGGGGGGAGTCGAATCGGTGGAAATCGGCAGGCTAATAAGGCCTCTATTGAGAAACCGAAATCCTGATCGGAGTCCGAAGACGAATCGGAATCGATCAATGGAATCGAATCGAGTCGGATGAGTCGAAGTGAGCCTTGCATTCTGAGAGGCGCCCCTGCCTGGTCAGGGGGCAGCCCCCTCTCGCCCTGCCACCTCTTCCGCGCCGCCGACAGCTGCTCGCCTTGGATCACAGGTCGATAGGGCCCCCTGTAAAACAGATCGGAGGGAGGGGTCGCCCTGAGCAGGTGCGCAGTCGAGTCGATCGATGTCGAGCGCGGACCTAAGTCGGCACGCGTGGTTGAATCGACAGAATCTTTGTCAGCCCTTCGCACTGGGCAGGGGATGGTGGAG